TTCCCACGTGGGCTGGGGAAAGAGGTGAGCTAGCCCTGCCGTCATGCTCTCCTGGCCTTATGCTGGTTCCATATAATTTCTTCCCACTTAGAAATCACATCACAGCTCAAAGCCAGCCTGGGACTCTTGTCTCTAATTAACTACCAAAAAGCTGGAAGTGGAGCTGTGGCTTAAATAGTAGAGTGCTAGCCTTGAACAAAGAAAAACACAGGTGGGTGAGGTGTTGCAAAGGGTGACATTGACCAAGATATGTTATATTCATAAACTGCTTTGTTAAATGCAACTCCTTTGCACAACTACTTAAAGATAATGATAAAAAAAATTTAAAAAGCGCTCAGGGACAGCACCCAGACCCCTGTTCAAGCCTCAGGACTGGCACACACACACACACACACACACACACGCACATCATTGTTTCAAAAATGGAAGATATGGACTATAGCCTTCTTTAAAAAAATCAACCTTCGAGGATACACTATATAGATGATGCATACTCTCTATATAAATGATACATCTGTAGATTATACACTACATAGGTAGAAATAGATGAAATAGCCATGTGCAGTTAGACATTATTCACATATATATGTGTGTGTGTATATATATATGGCTATAATTTACCTATGTATATATAGGTGACATACCCACATGCATTTTCAGACATTAGCTACCTGGAATCATTTTTTTTCTTTTAATCATTCACTGCTTCTTGTCAAGTTACTGCTGATTTCCCCTGCCAGCTGCCTTCCTATGCAAACCTGAAGGCTTGTCAAGGAAAAGTAAATCTCATCAGAGTCCTCAGCTTTTCTCTGCAGAAACCCAGATTTCTTTTTAAGGATATTTCTCTATAAATGTCAAAGCAACACTATTTTCTTTTTCTATAACACCACCAACAACAACAAAACAACTCCAAAACAAAACAAGCCATCCTATTTTCATTTTTGCATGTGTACATGTTTCTTGAGAGCCAGGAGGAGATAATACTGGTCAAGAAAAATGTCTGGAATATTCTATTTTGTGATGGGTTAGCTACATCAGCTGTACCTCCCTAAAGTGACACAGTCCTCTCTGATCAGCAGTACTAAGCTAATTCTGAGTGATAGAGATCAGTGCGTTTTGTACCACCCACCTTGTGAACATGCGTGGTGTAGCAGAAGAATCAGCTAATTTCAGAGGATGTAGATTTCCCATCAGGAGATCATTTCAAAGAAGAGCCACTCTCACAGCATGCAGCATTAACCCAAGAGTTGGTCTGACTTGGGACTGCCAGTTTACCCAAACCAGAGGCAGCCCCTACCAGCCTGGAAGTCAGTGTGTGGCTGAGTGATGACAACCCCCATGTGACATTTCTACTGATTTGACAGCCAGTATATGTAACCCAGTCCAGGGGACCCACTGCCTAGAGAGGGGCTGTGTGTGGCCTCATTTTAGAACAATGCCTAGAAATCCAATTTAGTCATTTGGCTACAAGAAAACTTAATCATGAGAGGGGGTTGGGGGGAGGAGAGGGAGAGGAAGAGAGATGACATCCTTTCTAGAAATATTTTGGTGTGTACACCTAATTATTGCAAAATGTGTTACCTACTTCTCAAAAGAAACCAGTTTGATCTCAGAAAATGTAAAATGTACTTTAACATAAAAAAAAAAAAATGAAGTAGGTGCCTATGGCTCATGCCTGTAGTCCTAGCTCCTCAAGAAGTTGAGATCTGAAGATGTGGTTCAAAGCCAGCCTAGGCAGGAAAGTACATAGGATTTTTAGATCCAATTAACCACCAAAAAGCCGGAAGTGGAACAGTGGCTCAAGTAGTAGAGTGCCAGCCTTGAGTGGAAAAAGCTAAGGGATAGTGCACGCACTCACACACACACACACACACACACACACACAAAGTAAAATCAAATAAATTAAATTAAATAAACTCTCTGCCGGGCGCCGGTGGCTCACGCCTGTAATCCTAGCTACTCAGGAGGCTGAGATCTGAGAATCGCGGTTCAAAGCCAGCCCAGGCAGGAAAGACCCTGAGACTCCTATCTCCAATAAACCACTAGAAAACCGGAAGTGGCGCTGTAGCTCAAGTGGTAGAGCGCTCTCCTTGAGCTGAAGAGCTGAGGGACAGCGCCAGGCCCAGAGTTCAAGCCCCATGACCGACAAAAAAATAAAAAAAAAAAAAAAATTAAATAAACTCTCAAACACAAATCTGATTTGAAAGGATTCAAGGAAAGACAAAGTATCTCTCTCTCTCTCTCTCTCTCTCTGTGCCTCACTGGAGCTTGAACTCAGGGCCCAGGTGCTGGCTCTGAACTCTTTCGCTTTTTGGAGGCTTAACTGGCGATGAAAGTCTCATGTATTTTCCTGCCCCAGCTGGCTTCAAACTGTGATCCTCAGATCTCAGCCTCCTGAGTAGCTAGGATTATAAGCATGAGTCATTGGTTCCTGGCAAAGAACTGAGTTTTAATAATTTTTTTCAAAATAGGCTTATAGCCCCAAATAAAACCAAATAGTTAAGATGCCTACAGTACATTGGATTCTAGTTTTTCTTTTTTTTCCTCGATATGCAATACAGACATACAGCATGGCTTATGGTGCTGGTGAGGGCATGTTTCCTTGTGTCATTCCGGTGTGGTTATCTTTCAAGAATCCATCTTGCTGAGTGTTTCAGTGTTTACATTTTATTTGCTTCTGGAAGGGAATAAGGAAGAGGAACTTTCCCTTCCAAGTCTCGTCCTTCTCCATTAACTCCAGCATCCTTCCTGTCCTCAGACACTCTCTCTCTCTTTCTCTCTCTCTCTCTCTCTCTCTGCATCCTGGGCATCTCATCAGTTAATATAATTTTTTCAGTTCATGCAAAGTGGGGAATTGTTTCAATGTCTAATAATTGTGGATGTTCTCCCAAAAGAAGGGTTAGAAAGCAAAATACAAAATAATGTAAAAATAAAATGTTAAAAAAAGATTTAAAAATTGTTTTATTTCCTAAGTTAGCACAGCATTCCTCAGAAGAGCGGTGCCTTCTTATCGAATAATAGCAGCCCATTAAACCTGTATGGCTCCTAAGGAGGCTGACATCTGAGGATTGGGGTTTGAAGACAGCTCACAAAGGAAAGTCCACAAAACTCATCTCCAATTAACCGCAAAAAATTAACCACAAAAAAGTTAGAAGCGGAGCTGTGGTTCAAATGGTGGAAAGCTAGCCTTGAGCAAAATTGCTCAGGGACAGTGCCCAAGCCCTGAGTTCAAGCCCCAGGACTGGCACAAAAGAAAACTGCATGTGCTGGTGGCTCACATCTGTCACATCTGTCTACTCATAAGGCTGAGATCTGAGAACAGTGGTTCAAAATAAGCCCACGCAGAAAAGTCACCTAGACTCTTATCTCTAATTAATCAGCAAAAAGCCAGAATAGGGGAGTTGTGGCTCAAGGGTAGAGCACACACACACACACACACACACACACACACACACACACACACACACACACACACACACACACACACACACACACACACACCCCTGCATGGCAAAGTCTTGTCTAAGCTCCTATATACAAGAGGCTGATGGTGATGATTGTCAGACCCTCAGGCTATGACCTAGAGTTTGTCCCAAGCAGAATGTGGTGGAAAAGGTCCTCTGTGTTGGCCTCCAACACAACTGTTGTGTGTCCTTCATCAGTTTCTGAAGACCGCTGCACTCCACTTCCTGGCCTCCCTCCCTGCCTGTGACCTCCTGCGGTTATCTCCCCTTCTAGGTCTAGAGCTGCAATGGGGGACAGGTGTGTTCCTTCACTAGGCAGACATGGTAGAAAGTCCTCATTTCCCAAAAGAGAAAGTCTACAACTCATTCTGAACACCTCCACGAATAGAACATGGCTGCCAAAGGGCTAATTGGGAAGTATATGCCCAGAACCCCAACAGACCTTGGTCCAACACCACCCTGACCTGCAGAATCCCCTTGTCATAAAGAGGCACGTAAACATCAGAACAGATTCAGAATAGCTGTTTCTCTTCAGTTCTAGACCATAAAAGAGTGGTGGATGAAAGGGTTTCTCACATCCATATCTGAATCTGTGGAGGAATGGGAAGGGCAGAATTGGGTTGGTAACCCTTCAGCTGTCATGCGCCAAGCCCAGGTGCTAGTCAGGCAGGTCTGAGGATGGGAATCATGGCCAGCATTGGTAGAATGTGCCAACCAGCACCTGCTACACAAGACTTCATGGGCATGGACTGGTTCTCACGGTACAAATGTGGCTTAAAAGGTTCATAGATATGTGCTCTGGTTTATACTCCAGATGTAGATTTTTGTGATTTCATTGCAATCAGGAAGTTTATACCACACAAACAGGAATCATACAATGAAACAGGAATCAAAGCAAGTGAGCCAGTCACCAACCTACCAAAAGTGAGGTTCATAGACTACAAGTTCCGCATCATCTGAGAGTTAACCAAACAGGAAGTGAGTACTTCCTGGTCCAGTTCCACAGGACGGAAAATGCTCCCTGTCTCCCAGAAACAAGAAGCACTTATGTGTAAATATTTGTGAAACATGCTGGACACTGTTATTCACGCCTTTAGTCCTAGCTACTCAGGCTGCTGGGATCTGAGGATTGCAGTTCAAAGCCAGCCTGGAGAGGAAAATCCATGAGGCTCTTATCTCCAATGAACCAGCAAAAAGCCAAAAGTAGAAGTGTGGCTCAAGTGGTAGAGCACCAGCCTTGAGGGATGAAGCTAAGAGACAGCATTCAGGCCCTGTGTTCAAGCCCTAAACTGGCATTAAAAAATGTATATGTGTGTATATATATATATATATATATATATATATATACACACACACACATATATATATATAAATGAAACATAATGTTTTTAATTTCACACCTCACACAGCACAGTTGAATGCTTCAGAAGAACATAAACAAAAGTTCAGCCAAGCACTGCAGACAAGTCGGAAGCGAAAGCTGTCTATACTCTTGAGATTGCAAGGGAACAGATCACTTAATAAACTGGTTGTTGGCTAAGGCCACAGAAATGTGTTTTCTGGTTGTTTCTGCCACCGCCAGTCTCTTCTGACAAAGACATATGAACACTGTGAGCAAACAACCACATTTCTTCCCAGGGACTCCATGGGGAACAGTCCAGTCTTATTTCTTCCTTGATTTCTTTTTGGTGGTATCGTAAGCCCGGACTATTTCTTCCTGAGTTACAGCTCCATGCTCTTCTTGAGAAAAGGCATATCCATCTGAAAGGGAAGCACATAGGAGGAAAGGGTTAATGAGGAGGGTTGCAGCAGGATAAGCAGCTTTGGGGGAGACCATGGATGAACTGTGTGGTGTGTGACGCGTGGCTTTCTCAGCCTTGCTTTCATATGCCTGACATGAAGAAACCTGTGATAGAGAAGGGGATTCTAGGTAAGAGGGCAGTGTGGCAGGGTGTTACTGCAGCTGGGCTGAGAATGGTTCTGAGAAGGAAGGGCTTAGTCTGGGTTTCTGGGGGTAATAACACAATACCCTGGATGGAGAACATGACAAACCAGAGAAGTTTATTTTGGAGTTTTATTCTGGAGGCTAAAAAGTCTAGGATCAAAGGAGCTATTTTTCTCTTAAAGGTCCCATCTCTCTTTTAGTTTTTAATTTTTTAATTGTTTACTTTTGGGATCAGTTCTGGAACGTGAACTCAGGGCCTGTTGCTGTCCCTGAGGGGTTTTTTTTTTTTTTGGTTAAAGCTGGTGCTCTGCCATTTGACCCACAGCTTTGCTTTTGGCTAATTGGAACTTTCCTGCATGGGCTGGTTTCAAACTATGATCCTCAGATCTCAGCCTCCTGAGTAGCTAGGACGACAGGCGTGAGCCCAACCCTTGTCAGACTCTTTTTTTTTTTTTGTCAGTCGTGGGGCTTGAACTCTAAGTTTGAGTGCTGTCCCTGCGTTCTTCAGCTCAAGGCAAACACTCTACCGCTTGAGCCACAGCCCCACTTCCGGTTTTCTAGTGGTTTATTGGAGATGAGAGTCTCACAGACTTTCCTGCCTGGGCTGGCTTTGAACCTCGATCCTCAGATCTCAGCCTCCTGAGTAGCTAGGATTACAGGTGTGAGCCACCAACGCCCGGCTCCTTGTCAGACTCTTTACAAGGAGAAAAAGAAATAAAAAATTGTATCCAAGTGACATCTCCTGGGTTCTTTGTACATTTCTCAGATATTTGGCTTGAAGAGGAAAAGACTCTTCTATCAATAGCAGGGGACAGTTTGTGAGGCTGGAGAGGATATGAAGTACAGGAAAGGACTCTGGGCTGAGTGTTACTCTATGTGCCACAGAATCTCTGTCTTTGAGCCAGCTTCCTGGCTTTTTAGGAGAGCATGTCTGCCAGACACAACTCAGCCCAGGTGCCTGGGTGGGTGACCCTGGAAGAAGAGCTAGTCTGGAAGGGGGTCCACTGAGGGCTGGGGTGCTAAGCTGCAAGGAGGAGGGCCAGACCAAGTGGTCATGGAAAGGAGGGAGGGAGATAGACAGACAGACAGAGTCAGAGACAAAAGATAGAGACCGAGCAGACACAGAGAGACACAGAGACAGAAACAGAGAGATCTAGAGAGGCAGACACAGAGATACACATAGAAAGAGCAAGAAACAGAGACAGAAGGAGACAGACAGAGACAGAGGGACAGACAGAGCTAGAGGGAGACCAAAAGGAAGACAGACACTGATAGAGAAAGACAGACAGACAGATAGACAGACAGACAGACACACACACACACACACACACGTAGAGAGAGAAAGAGAGACAGAAAGAGGGAGGGAGAGAGGGAGCAATCGTATTTCAGTGAAGGCAGAACAAGCAAGCCAGTGTAGCCAAGGAATAAGACAGAAGAGTTTTTCTCTGCTTCTTCATTTCTATGCCCAACAAATCCAAACTCACAGACCAGAAAACCCCACCATGCAGTAGGCCCTGGAAGGTAGCTCTCTGCCTAGTGGGGCCCTCCAGATATCCAGGCACAAGATGGAGCAGGTCACTGAGCGGAGGCTCGGGCCCACCACCAGTGCCCTTGAGATTCCATAGGGCAGCCTCCACGAAGGTTGTGTGATGTCCTCACCGGATCTCCTGATCCCCGAGGAGCAAACGCCACTTCTCATCTCCGTTCACCAAGAGCTTTTGGATTTTGGCCAAGTTGCTTGGAACTTACCCATGAGGTATGAGGAAACCACTAACTGCTGGCACAGACCAGCTTCCGCCTCTCTTGGGCACAAGCCCTGCCTTAAATCCCTACTAAGTAACTGGTGAAACATTTTTAGGGAGCTTCAACAGGACACACCTCTGAGTGGCTTCAAAGTAGAGTGCAGCGAGTAACAATGGTGTGTACTATGGTTCCTGTGTGGTCACTCAGCAGCTGTCCTCAGCCAGAATGGCCATCCTGTCTCCCATTGTGGCCGTGGCTCTTAGGTAACCAGTGGAAGCCCCTCAGCCTGAAGGAAGTCCTCGGGATCAAGGATAGGTCTTCCCGAGTCATTCTTTAAATACTTGTGTGACAGGCAGGGGACTATGGGGCTTCCCACTCACAAGAGGGCTTTGTCTGCTTCTAATTTGGGAGATGGGAGCACATGGCTGAAGTACTGGAGGCAAGACAGAAGAAGGCTTCTAGTCCTTGCTTGGCTCTTCCTTGGCTAGACAACCTTCTGTTCATTAAGGTTTTGGGTTACTTTTTGGCTAGATTTTTTTTGGGGTGGGGGGAGGGAAGAAGAGAACAAGACATTTGAAGGGGTCCTGTTGAGTCTTGAACATTAGGCCAGGTGCTGGTAGCTCACACCTATAATCCTATCTACTGAGGAGGCTGAGATCTGATGATTATAGGAAAGCCTGTGAGATTCTTATCTCCAATTAACCAGAAAAAAAGATAGAAGTGGAGTGGTTCAAGTGGTAGAGCAACCAGCCTTGATCAAAAAAGCTCAGGGACAGTGCCCTGGCACTGAACTCAAGACCCAGGACACTGTCTTTGTCTCTGTCTCTGTCTCTCTCCCACACACACACAGTGTTGCCATTGTCCCATGGAAGTTCTTCCTCAGCTTTCAATTATGCACATATTATATATATATATATATATATATATATATATATATATATATATATATATATTCTTGCTACAGTTACTTTGAGAGATTTGTTAGGCAGATAGCTTGGCTCTACAAAATAAAGGCTGTGATTTAGGCTTTAAACTCATCATTTTGTAAATGCATAAGGATGAATATTACTATAATTCCATTTTTCACTCCAGAGGAGAAAACAGAAATTTCAACAAATACTAAGTTCATGCAGCTAGTGGCAAATATTTAATATTTACTTGATTCTCTTACAGTCTGGAGCTCTGGAACTGGTTTAGACATTTTATATATATATATATGCATATATACACATATATCTCAATCTATAGATATATAATGAACTAGTTTAGACACTCTTCATATAATATCTAAAAGTAATATATAATAAAATAAATATATAATATATAATAATATGCACAATAAATCTTATATAATACATTATATATAATATGCATAATATATTATGCATAATATATTATGCATGATGTATACCATATAATGTAAACAAATACTATATAATACATTAATACATACAAAAATATTATATATAATAAATCTCATTTAATCCTCAGGTTGTCATCTTCTCATTTTATAGATACAGAAACAGAGAGGTTAAACAACTGCCCTGAGATCACAAAAAGTTGTAGAGCTGGGACAGGAGCCCTGAAGGTTCTTGAAGATGGCAATGAAGTGTCCTAACCTGACCTCAATCTTGGGTAACAGCCATGAGCCACTCTTCTGACTTATGACTCTCCTTGTGCCCTTGGGTTGGCACCAACCATTTCCTGGAGTGTTAAAGCATTCAGAAATATTTCTTCCAAATAGAGGGAGCATATTGAAGTGCTTTGCCTACCTTCTCTGTCTTTTCCTTCCTTCCTTCCTTCCTTCCTTCCTTCCTTCCTTCCTTCCTTCCTTCCTTCCTTCCTTCCTTCCTTCTTTCCTTTTTCCTTCCTCCCTTCCTTCCTCTTTCATTTGTGTGTGTGTGTGTGTGTGTGTGTGTGTGTGCGCGCGCGCGCGTGTGCATGTGTTTGTATGCCAGTACTAGGACTTGAACTGAGGATCTGGTACCTGTCCCTTCGTTTTTCTGCTCAAGGCTGTTGTTCTACCATTTGAGCCACAGCTCCACTTCTGGCTTTTTACTGGTTAACTTTTTGCTGCCTGGATTGGCTTCAAACTGCAATTCTCAGCTCTCAGCCTCTGAGTAGCTAGGATTAGAGGTGTGTGCCACTAATGCCTGACTACCTGCCTTGTCTTTCCCTGAGAAAGTCTGCAAATCTTATTGACAGGTGGAGCTTTCCCGACCTACACAGAAATCCATCAATACTTATATTATATGTGTAGGATTCTTCAGGCTTCCTCTTCTAGACACTGTCTTCTTAACCTCACAGGGAAGGCCAAGAGAGCAGGGAGTGGGGTGCAAAAGCACCTTGCCTTGCTGATGGCATCTACTCACGTGAGACACACTGCTGGATGGAACCACCACGGAAAAGGGTTGGAGGTGTCTTCCTGCTGAGCCTCTTTAGCAGGCGGTCTCTCTCGTTCATCCTGCAAGGAGAATAAACACAACCCAAATCCAGGTCACCTCAACACCCTTCAAAGGAGTGAGGAATAACTTCATTTGTGTGTAGCTTGTGTGGTGTGGTGTGGTGTGGTGTGGTGTGTGTGTGTGTGTGTGTGTGTGTGTGTGTGTGTGTGTGTGTGTGTGTGTCCCCACTGGAGCTTGCACTCGTGGCCTGAGAACTATCCCTGAAATTTTTTGCTTAAGGCTGGTGCTCTATCACTTGAGTCTCATAGAGTTTCCTGCCCCTGCTGGCCTCAAATCATGACCCTCATATCTCAGCCTCCTGAGAAGCTAGTGTTACACGAGTGAGCCCACAGTACCCAACTGAATGAGCTTCATGAGCAGAATGAAGATTTTGAATATCAGATTCCAATTGTCCTGACTCTTCTTGTGTTCAGCACTGAAGCTTACTTAATTTGATTGTTATTGGGTCCAAATCCTCTGGCTCTTCCTGGTGGCTTTTACAACAGTTCTGTTTTCCTTTGATATTTTGTAGTTTTATGACAACACAGGTAAAAATTTGTTTTTGTAATTTGCTCAATTGCTTCGGCCTGGAAAGCTGCTTTGCAGGTTTGCCTTTCCTTTGTTCTCTACTTGCTTTCCTGGAGTTCTTGTTCTATCTTCTGCATCTCTAAATCTCCACCACATTTTTCAGATCCTTTTCTCCTTTATGCCCCTTTTACCCAAACTATGGTTAAATTATCCAATATGTTTTCATTTAAATCACAATATTATTCATGTCTATACTGTTTCCCTGTACTCAAAACACAAGTAACGAAAGAAAGAATAGACTACAGGTGACACACACGTGTAGTCCCAGCAACTTGGTAGGCTAAGGCAGGAAGATTGCCTGGACACAAGAGTTTGGGGCAAGCCTAGAAGACATAGCAAGACCCTCCATAAAATAAGTAAATAAATAAATTCATAATAAATACATATATAAATAAAACCTTATGTCCATCAAAAAATGAAAAACACAAGAAGGGATAAAAGATGATATATACAATATATATAATAAGAGTCTACTATCCAAAAGGTATAAATATACCCTACACATGAATGTATCAATAACCCTTACAACCAAAAAGCAAAAAGATAATCCAATTTAAAAAGGGCAAAAGAAGCTGGGCTCTGGTGGCTCACGCCTGTAATCCTAGCTACTCAGGATGCTGAGATCTGAGGATCGAGGTTCAAAGCCAGCCCGGTTAGGAAGGTCATGAGACTCTTATCTCCAATAAATCACCAGAAAACCGGAAGTGGCACTGTGGCCCAAGTGGTAGAGTGCTAGCCTTGAGCTGAAGAGCTGAGGAACCATACCCAGGCCCAGAGTTCAAGCCCCATGATCAACAACAACAACAAAAAACACCCAAAACTCAAAAATGGGCAAAAGATTTGATAGTAATACAAAGAATATACCCCATGCTCAAGAAGCATGTGAAAAGATACCCAACATTGTTAGTCATTTGGGGAGTGTCAACCAAAACCATAATGAAATATTATCACACATCTATCAGGATGGCTTATAAAAACAACAAATAGCTGGGCACTGGTGGCTCAGGCCTGTAATTCTAGCTACTCAGGAGGCTGCAGTCTGAAGATTAGAGTTTGAAGCCAGCCTGAGAAGGAAAATCCTTGAGACTCCAATTAACCACCAAAAAGTCAGAGGTAGAGCTTTGATTCAAATGGTAGAATACTAGCCTTGAGCAAAAAGAGCTCAAGGACAGTGCCTAGGCACTGAATTCAAGTCCCAGTACTAGCACAAAAAGAATTTGTAACAAAGTCAACAAACACAACTAAAACAACTCCCTGGGGAGGAGGTGGAGGAACAGAAATCCTGTCACATCCCTGATGGGACTATAAAATGAGAAGCTACTGTCCTTCAATTAGTCAAACAGAATCACCTTACTAGTCATAAATTCCACTCTTAGGGATATGCCCAAAAGAATACAAAATGGACCAAATTGATATGTGCATACATTATACATACCAGCATGATTCCTAAGAGCCCAAAGTGAACACAAGCCAAGTGTCCAGCCACAGAAGTTTATATATGTTTATAAACATCCATATGTAAATAAACAATACATGGTCTAGCCACACAATGGAATATTATTCAGTCATGTAAAAGAATTAAACTACAATACATGATGTAACATAGACAAACTGAAAACATCATATCCAACCCCAAAGCCATATAGGATTAGAAGAAATGTCCAGAATAGGCAAATATGTAGCGACAGAAAGCAGATTAATGGTTGCTAGGGCAAGGGGAATGGGTAAGGAGGGGGAAGGGTTGGGGAAGAGGGTAGAGTAAGGGGGAGGGGAGACTGCTTATAGCATATGGGCTCCCTTTGTGTGAAATGAAGGTTCTAACTTAGAACAGTGGTGATGGTTGTATAGCACTGTAAATGTACTAAATGCCACTGAATGTACACTGTTTCTTTTTTTCTTTTTTGGGTTACTGTTGTGTATGTGTGTGTGTATGTGTGTGTGTGTGTGTGTGTGTGTGTGCATGAGCGTGCATGTGCACACACACATGTATTAGGTTTTGAACAACTGCTTGGCTTTTTTCACTCAAAGCTGGTGTTCTACCACTTGAGCCACAGCTCTATTTCTGACTTTTTGCTAGTTAATGGGAGATAAGACTATCAAGAATCGCATAGCCTTTCATACTAGAGCTAGCTTTGAACAAGGATCCTCAGATCCTCTCAGCCTCCTGAGTAACCAGGATGACAGGTGTAAGCCACCAGTGGGCATGAATGTACACTTGATATGTTTTATGAGAACTTCATTACAATTTTTAAAAATCCAGCTAAGAAACAAAAGGGACAAAGAAGGGGTCCCAAAGCAAAGATAAATTCCCTTCTCTACCTAAACTGCTGCCATCTTCACAGTTACAGGGGAAGGATGTTGGAATTAAAGTTGTTCTTTTAGAATTCTGTTTGTTTCTTTGCTACTGTAAGCAGATACACAAACCAGAATCCACCAGGGTAAAAGGTGTTACATCAACACAACTCACCCCAGGTAAATGTGGTTTGTGAAACCCAAGCTTTCACAAGTCTTTGAAATGGACTCTTTCTACAAAGAAGATCACATACCTTCTGTGAGGTTCCTGTCTTGAAAAGTGATCAGTCTAAGAACCAGTGGAGAGTGGAGAAGTGTTATGCTGGTGAAAAATAAACTCTGGGTCCATATTTCTATTGGGGAGCTATTTGTGTAAAAGCAACATAGGTCTCACTGCCACAGGCAGACCAGAAGCTGGGAGGGGGGCTGTGTGTGACTGCCAATCTGATTTGCAGATCCCATCAGCAGTTGCCGCACCTGATAAGAATTCATGGCAGGCACAACAATGCCAAAGTCTAATAACTACCTGAGTGCCAGTGGCTTGTGTCTGTAATGCTAGCTACTCTGGAGGTTGAGATCTGAGAGTTGTGGTTGAAGCCAGCCTGGGGGGAGGGGGAATCTGTGAGACTTGTATCTCTAATTAACTCCCCCCCCCCAAAAAAAGAAACAAACAAACAACAAACTGGAAGTAGAAGCTTGGCTCAAGTGGTAGAGCACTAACCTTGGGTAAATATAGCTAAAGCACAGTGCTCCCTTGAGTTCGAACCCTAGCACTGGTACCAAAAAATTCAAAGTATCTAATAGCTATGTTTAAAAACTCACTTTTCAGTGAGCTACTGGAGAGTTGTGAAAATGTAGATAGGGGCTGGCAGAGCAGTTGAATCGCAGGTGTAAGGTGCTGGGGTCAGTTCCCAGCACGGTGGGGGGGAAACCTCAAAAACTAAAATCAGTAACAACATAAGATGTACATGTGACAGGTTCCTTCCCTTCCCCCTGGTAAAACCACACATCTACAAACTCACCAGGCCATTGAAATCCTAACCTAGTTGTAAGGATCCTTAGAGAATGATAGGTCATAGCTGATTTATCAAGTCTTAACTTATTTTACTCCTTAGAGTCTGAACACTGGGAAATGAGAATCTTTTGATCTCAAGTATATTCTAGACTTATCTAAGCCTTGGTAGTTAAACACACTTAGGTCCTGAGGAAAATAACAAATAGACTTTCTCATTTACGATTCTGATAAGGTAAGAGTTATATTTATTTTATAAACACCAGAGATAACTGCCCTTCAAAAAGTCTACTCTGGAACTGGAGGTCTGATTCAAGGGGTAAAGTGCCAGCCTTGAATGGAAAAGCCAAGCAAGAACTTAAGGCCCTGAGTTCAAGCCCCAGTACAGTACTGGCATGTGTGCACGTGTGCACACACACATATACACACATATTTTATGTATATCCTTCAATTTCCTAGATGCCATGCCTTTCTAAACAGTGCTGAAAAATACTGTCTAGCTAGGCTTCCTCTAAGAGGTGGGGAGAGTCTTTTCTCCATCTCCAACTGGCATGCCACCTGAGTGAGAGGCTGTTCAACCAGCACCACCTTCTGACCTCATTAGTCGAATGACAGCCCTGACACATGTGGAAACCATTACCTCATCCCATGACTTGCCAGGGGCTGAGCTCTATGGTGTAGCTGGTGAGCCTGTGAAGAGGTCAGATTGGAGTCACAGGGCTGCTAGGAACAGATAAATTAGCAGGGCACCTGGCTGACCCCAGAGAAGCCCCGGGCAAAATAGGATGTTTTAGGCTGAAAGGTCCTGGGTGAGGTGGGATAAAGAATAATCTTTATTCTGTGTATTTTTCAACAGGGGGACAGGACAAAACAAAACACCATTGTGGCGAATCACAAAATTAATCATTGAAAATGTAATCATGACAATTCAGCTCCATACGCTGAAAGTGCTCTGCCATGTATTTGCTTAAATCATAAATGCAAAAGACTGTGGCTTCTTTTTGAACATAATTTCTTTCTCTCTTTTTTTCCTTTCTGGAGCTGGTTCTGGGCCTTGGATTTAGGGAGCTGTCCCTGAGCTTTTTGCTAAAGGCTAGAAGAAGAGAGCCACAGCTCTTCTTCCAGCTTTTCGATGGTTAATTGGAGATAAGAATCTCACAGAATTTCCTGCCTGGGCTGGTTTTGAACTGAGATCCTCAGATTTAAGCCTCTTGAGTATGAGCCACCAATGTCCAGCAGAGATCCTCTTTTTAACCAAGGGCAATAGGGCACCCTAACTTTGTAAGAGAATAACTGCCACTTTTCAGATCTATACAAGTGGCTGAGTGACTTTGTTGTTCAGTAGGTAGTGTGATTTGGGTCTAAGTACAAAGTATACCCTTTCCTGAAGCAAAGAGCATCATCTCTATACCTGGAGAAGGTAGGAGGGTTATTTATAAAAAGTGAAGATAAACTTAAAAGTATGCAGTGGTCAGCAGGGCGCTGGTGGCTCATGCCTGTAATCCTAGCTACTCAGGAGGCTGAGATCTGAAGATCACGGTTCAAAGCCAGCCTGGGCAGGAATGTCTGTGAGACTCTTATCTCCAATAAACCACTAGAAAACTGGAAGTGGCGCTGTGGCTCAAGCAGTAGAGTACTCGCCTTGAGCTGAAGAGCTGAGGGATAGCGCCCAAGCCCAGAGTTCAAGCCCCACGACTAGAAAAAAAAAAAGTATGCGGTGGTCACAGATAAGGAGTGGAGGAGCCTCTATTCGGCTGGAATTTAAATCCAGATGGTGTAGTGGATGTCTTCATTGTGTGAAACACTAAAAACTAAATGTGACTTGAATAAAACACCTATTAGCTGGGTGCCACTGGCTCACACCTGTAATCCTAGCTACTCAGGAGGCTGAGATCTAAGGATTGTGGTTCAAAGCCAGGCTAGGCAGAAAACTCCGTGAGACTCTTCAATTAACCACCAGAAAACTGAAGTAATGCTGTGGCTCAAGTGGTAGAGGGCTTGCCTTGAGTTGAAGAGCTTAGGGACAGTGCCCAGGCCCAGAGTTCAAGCTCCATGACAAAGGAAAGAAAGGAAGAAAGAAAGAAAGAAAGAAAGAAAGAAAGAAAGAAAGAAAGAAAGAAAGAAAGAAAGAAAGGAAGGAAGGAAGGAAGGAAGGAAGGAAGGAAGGAAGGAAGGAAGGAAGGAAGGAAGGAAGGAAGGAAGAAAGGAAGAAAGGAAGGAAGAGGAAGGCAGGCAGGCAGGCAGGAAGGAAGGAAGGAAGGAAGGAGAAAGAAGAAAGAAAGAATGCCTAGTATTTACATGTGAAGACTGAATAGGAAGGGGGTGAGTTCAGTTGTCATATTCAATGGGCACATGTGAAAATTGAACCAGGTAACTTAAGGAGATGGGAGGAGTTTGGATAGATGGGAGGGGTAGGGAGAAGGGTAGAAGGGGTGACTGATCAAGATGCATTATACTCACAAATTGACATGTTGAGTTGAAAGTACAACTAACCATTTAAAGACAAAAAAAAATTAAGACTGAGGGCCGGGCACCAGTGGTTTGCAACTTCCTTCCTTTTTCCTTCCTTCCTTCCTTCCTTCCTCTTTCAAGGTGACATGAATTCTCTTCCTTCCTTTCTTCTTTCCTTCCTTTCTTTCTTCCTTCCTTCCTTCCTTCCTCTTTCAAGGTGACATGAATTCTCTTCCTTCCTTCCTTCTTTCTTTCCTTCCTTCCTTCCTTCCTTTCCTTCCTTTCTCAGCCCTGGAGATAGAACTCAGACCTATTTTTTTTTCACATCAGACAGTTATGACAGTGCCCATGTCATAACAAGGTTTAGAGGGAGGCACATGTCACGTAAGGGCATGAGACCCAATCATCACACTTATGAACCAGAAAAGGAGTCTCAGACCTATTTTTTAATCAGTTAAGTTCTTTGAATGTAAACTTTGAATGTAAACAACAACAACAGCAAATTGCTTATCATTAAGAAGATTCCCATCAACTTTGAAACTGTTGATTTCTCTCCCCCACTTCTCGTGACTACTCCAGCCTTTTAAAATAGCAGATTTTCAAGGCTTCATTAAGCTGCAAGTTAAATACAATCCCTTTTCTCCACTCTATTTTTCTAGCATTTCTTCAATGAATGCGGTCAGAGGCAGTAAAAATCTGACTTTACGCATTCAAATAAGCATGCAAACAAACAGAATAATTCAAAGTTGGCTGCAAGGACCCCCTGACTCAGTTGTTGAAGTCATTAAAGAAGGATGAGCTTCACACTGATTAATCTCCTAAGCACTAATTAGTGATAATGAGCTATTCAAGGTGCTTGGCACAGCCTAACCTGCATGTCCAGCCAGAGATCACACTTGTAGCTGAAGACCCCCAGGAGGCTCACAAGGAAGAAAAGGAAGGCTGGGGCCTGCTTGGTGCTGACTCCCTAGAAAAGGGAGCAGAGGCCCCATGTGTGGGGAATACAATACACTCTCTGCATAAGGGTTGTGGGTGGAAATCCTCAGATCTTAACTATGTTATTTCTTAGAGGGCTTCACTTCAGCCAATGACACAAATTCAATCAGAGGATATCCTTTCTGGGTTTTTTGTTTGTTTGTTTTTCCGCTGGTACTAGGGACTGAACTAGGGGCCTGGGCACTGCCCCTTAGATTTTTCACTCAATTTAGGCACTCTACCACTTGAGCCATAGATCCATTTCTGACTTTTGAGTGGTTAAATGGAGCTAAGAGTCTCCCAGGTTTGTCTGCCTGGGATTGGTTTTAAACCACAATCTTCAGGTCATAGACTCCTGAGTAGCTAGGATTACAGGTATGAGCCACCAGCACCTGACATTTGGCGTATTTTGAAAGGTCAGATCAAGAATGATTTCCACAGGGGGCTGGGAAGGTAGCTCAGAGGTAGAGAGCTTGCTTTGCATGTATGAGGCCCTGGGTTCCATTCCTCAGCACCACATAAGCAGAAAAAGACGGAAGTAGTGCTGTGGACCAAGTAGTAGAACACTAGCCTTGAGCTGTAGAGCTGAGGGACAGTGCCCAGGCCCAGAGTTCAGGCCCCATGATAGACCAAAAAAAAAAATAATAATGATGCCCATGGTGGGGCTTAAGAAACATGACCCCCACCCTGCATGGCTGGTGGCCCCGAGTTATCTTGCAACATCTTGAAGTCTCTCTGGGCTTTGTGTTTAAAGCAGAAGCTTCAGGATGGTGATGGTGCCAATGTCCTGACTCATACTTATCCTAACAGTTCATGTACATCTGATTGGCACATGGACAGACAGTACTGAAGGGCTCAACTGTGTGCCTTTCTACAGGTGGAGGAGCAGTCGCTGGGCTTGCTCAGGAATTCTGGCACACAATTTCTTTCAAAAATTTCAAAGGGATGTGATTGTTCATATCCTTACTTGCTCCTGTATTCCACATGGAAAAAGAGATCCTTCTGAATAGCCTCACCTGGGCCCAGGATATGAGGCTGTCCTGACAAGTCTAGCCATATTCCTTTTCTCTAAGTTTCTCCAGGCTGCAGAAAGATGCATGGCAACTCGGGATGTGATGACGATGTGGAAGACAAGAAGGAAAAAAATAACAGGATGCACACAAAGGAAGGGAAAGCATAATGCCCTTTCCACTCCCAGTGGAATGGAGGAAAAAAACCAGCCCTGTGGGTTCTGAAATTATTTACAGGCTGAAGTGTTTGAAATTAATTGTTCATGTGCTGTTCCTTGGTCTTCTCTAGGGAGAATTTTATGGATCTTCCATAAAGAGTATGAGTTAAGAATGTAAAACACAATTTCACTTTACTGAATGGCGTAAGATGCACCTTTACCCTGAAAAGAGTTTTTTAAGATAAAGCGTGACCTTTATATACTGTGGGTGGGGATGTACAAAAGTTCAGCCATTGTGGAAACAGTATGGAGTGTCCTCAACTAACAAGGAATTCCACTGCTAGATACACACACACACACACACACACACACACACACACACACACTCAAAGAGATTAAAATTAGAAGGAGGAAGAGGATTAACAGAAGAAATGGAAGGAGGAGAAAAAAGAGGAGGGAAGAGGAAGAAGATGAAGAAGAAGAAGAGAAAGGAGAAGAAAAGGAGAAGGAAGGAGGAGGAAGAAGAGGAGGAGGAGAGATATGGAACAATAAAAAGCAAGGATCTAAATTTCATACAGGAGGAATTCTTCCTCATGGAAGAATGAAGAAGATGAATCTGTCACTCTATATGTAACAATAAGAACCATGGGTCTCGTGTTCATACAGGCGGATGGCTGTTGCTAGGCCTCATGGAAGAATTCTCAGATGATCCAGAGAATGCCCTTAGACATTCTTTGCAAAAGTAAACAGATATAAGTGAATTGTTTTTTTTTTTTTGTTTTTTGAGGATCTGCGTCTTTTTATTTCCAAATTCTGAAGAAACTACAGTGAAAAACTTTTGAGAATGAATGCTGTCTTCAGCCAGTTGTATTTCAACTTCAGGGTTTCTGGGTCCAAGAAACAGAGCCAAAGTATGGCAAAAATGTGTGGTTATACGCTTTACTTTGGGTTTTATCAAGTGAAAGCTCCTTTGGACTTTATTTTGAAAAACTGTTGAGTCTTAAATTCTCCAGGATACAGAATGTCTGTAAATGCATGCTCACAGGATTTAATCATCTAGTCTAGCAATGTGGCAGCATATACGGTTGGGGAACCAGGCTCTGGGTTTCTTGCTTTTCAGTTTCTGGGTCTGTCCTCTTTTGCATTGTGTGAAAGGGGCTGTGTGTGTGTGTGTGTGCATGAATAGGTAACGTGCAAAGAGGCTTGGTCCCCAGCCTCTGACAACTTGCACAATTCTTTGGTTTTCAAAAGATTTGTGAGGACGGTGAAAGATAACAACTTAGACAATGAGGCCCAAGTTCCACAGGACAAAAGTGTTTTCATCAAGTTCCTGTCCTTAGAAAGCAAATGCTTTCTGAATAGTGGAACAAAGGGAGAAAGAAAAGGGAAATACAAAAGGCCTTGGTGATAGATCAGTGTTTTAATAAACAAAACAACTGATCTTTCTAGAAATACCTTGAATATCTAACATATAAGCTCTTTGTTTGATGAATGAGCATGAGAGATTAAATGTTTGAACCCCCTAATAATAAAAAGTTGTATTTGTCAGTAAATGCAATGAATACCATGCAAAATTCTTGTTTAAACTACATATTTGAACTTTAAAAAGCCCCATATTAGAAATCACTGTTTATGTTTCTAAACTAAATATATAATATAAGGATAATTAATATGTTTTACTCTTTTAAAAAGTGTATTTTAGTAAACACTGAAAACAAGCAATCTATCCATCTGGATTTCGTGGCCAAATTGAGTTATAAATGCTTTTTGGTTTATAGTACAATTGGCTATTCTTTCAATAATTAGTTTTTAAATTACATTTTCTATACATGTAAAAATAAGAATATATTATGTTTCATACAATATATATCAATTCTAAATATACTGAAACCCACAAATACTTTCAAGTAAATTTGCTTTCACAAGGATCGCAAATGAAAGGTTTCTTTTTTCTGATCTTACAAATAGGACTTTGATTGGGAAGGCTATAACTTTAAGTCACTCTTTTTCTAAGCAGCATTCATATATGGATATATAACATAAAAAGTAACAATAGCAACAAGTCTAACTCCTTTTTCTCCTTGCTTCATTCCTCCCTCTTCTTTGCTTCCTTCCTTCTTTTTGTTCTGCCTTTTAGATACTGTCTCACTATATAGCCCATGCTAGCTTCTAGTCTGCAACCTTCCTGACTCACCTCTGGAGCACTGGGATAGGTGAGCATTGTCTTGCCTGCACAATGAATTTATTCTCCTCAAAGTGTATGGGTTGGCCCAAGTGTCTCTCTAAATAAGCCATTTATATAACAGGAAAACAATGATCACACAATCTCAGAGTCTTGGAATTTCAACAAATTGTGAGAGTCGGAGGAGTAATAAGGTGACTGTGACTCTATTCACTTTTGTAGGTGAAGCTTGGTCTTTTTCAGGGCTGGTGGGGGTTGTAGGGGGGACTTGTGTTGAGTCTTGAAGTCAGGTCCTAGAGTGCTTTTTGTGCTCAAGGGTGGTGCTCTATTACTTGAGCCACACCTTCACTTCTGGCTTTCTCATGATTAACTGGAGATAAAAAACAACTCACAGAATTTCCTACCCAAACCACTATCCTCAGATCTCACCCTCTTGAGAAGCTAGGATTTCAAGGTGCTTGGATGAAGCTTGGTCTTAAATTCTCTGGTCTACTTGCTCTCAAATGGATCATAAAACTTCTTTCCAAAGTGGTTCTGCTACGAGAGAGGCCTTCTTCAAGATGAGTACAATTAGATCACAGCTCCTTTTTTTTTTTGTCTATAGTTCTATATAGTTATCCATACATCACAGAATATAAGCAGAAGCCGGGACCTGGCAGCTCACTCCTGTAATCCTAGCTACTCAGGAGGCTGAGATCTTAGAATCTCCGTTTGAAGCTAGCCCAGGCAGGAAAGTCTGTAAGATCTGTATTTCCAATTAACCATCAAAAAAAAAAGCTGGAAGTAGAGCTGTGGCTTAAGTGGTAGCATGCTAGCCTTGAGCGAAAAAGCCAAGCGAGAATTCAGGGCCCTGATTTCAAGTCCTAGTATTGGCACACAAAAAAATGTAAGCAAAACAATACACCATTCTTCCTGGACTGATCTTTGGGTCTTCATTTCTAAAGACTTTCATGTCAGGTAAAATGTTGAAGAACAAATATGTTGTGTTATTCTCTTATTAATCTGTGTTTTGTTACCGGGGATGTCAGCCTGAACTCTGTAAAGAGTGAGGAAAACAGCGTTTTCTTCTCTTTCCTGCTAGCACCAATACGTAGTCATTGACTGAC